CGTTTGCCGTTTTTTATTTTATTTATTTTTTTTTTCTTTTCAATTTTTAACCCTTGTGGTGATTGCGCGGCTGCTCTCTTCTTCTTCCCCACAGCCCGCAACGCACACCTCCCCGCTTCCTCTCCCTATGAGTGAAGTAATAAGATCCACTAACCACGGCCCCTCCCGAACGCACTCACACATGCGTCTCCAGAAGGCTTGCACAGGAGAAAAAGAACCAGCGTAGAAAAGACCCATCGCATCCCTGTTTATTCTCTTTTTTTGTTTTGCTTTTTGTCTTTATAGCAGCGTCGTTGGTTTCATGACTTACTTCCTCCTTTCCGACGCCACCTCCCCTCTCTACTTTGTGGCGTTAATAATTTCAACGAACTCCGGCTTGAGCGAGGCACCACCCACGAGGAACCCGTTGATGTCATGCATCTGGTACAGCGTGCAGGCATTTTTGGCGCTCACTGAGCCGCCGTACAGAATGCGCAGCTGCGCGGCGACTTCCGCGCCCACCTTGCTCTGCATCCAACGGCGCAGCAATTCATGAACCTCCTGCGCCTGTTGCGGGGTCGCCACCTTACCGGTGCCGATGGCCCACACAGGCTCGTAGGCAATGACGATGCGAGACCACGCCTCCTTGCTAAGCTTATCCGCGATGGCAGCGAGCTGCTCCAAGACGACGACGGCAGTGCGGCCAGCCTCACGCTCTGCGTTGGTTTCACCAACGCAGGCAATAACGTGGAATCCAGCGGCGTATGCCTCAGCGACCTTTTCCGCGACGATGGCGTTCGTTTCGCCATAGTAGGAGCGACGCTCTGAGTGGCCCAACACAACCCAGTTGATCCCGTAGTCCTTTAGGATCTCGAGGGAGACCTCGCCCGTGAAGGCGCCGCTCTTGACGATGGCGTTTTGCGCCGCAACCTGGAACTTTGGGTGCGTCAGCTGCGACTTCGTCATTGGGATGTGCAGGAAGGTGGGGGCAAGCACACACTGCACGTCGTGGTCGATCTTCGCCGCGTTGAAGGCCTCAATGAGTGCGGTGAGCGACTTCTGGGTGCCGTTGCACTTCCAGTTGGCGGCGGCGATGGGCTGCGGCTTCGATGACATCGTATTTTATTGTATTTATCTGTTTACTTTTTCGTTTTGTTTTTTTCCTGCTTCGAACCTCCGCGTATTTGCGAGTAAACGTACAGATGTTGTGTGTAGACTACGCCCCATTGCCGGAGCAGCAGAGACCCCGGGCAGGACGAAGCAAAAGGGCAATAG